GTTTCTCCCCTATCCTTCTTGATTGCGTTTGCATTAATCGATTTATTTATATTTTGATTACCTATTCTCCTAATCCTTTTTTTTCCTTCCTTAACTCCTCATTTTTGTTCGATCGACCACTTTACCCCAACACTCCTACTATTAAACGGACAATTTATTTGTCATTTTCTCACCAGTTTAACAGTTTCCATCTCAGTTTCTATTTTTATTCTTATTCTTATCGTTTCGCACATCATTCCAGACTTTTATTTTTTTATTCAGGTATTCCTGCTTAATTTTATATACGCGCATAAAGATTAAATATATATGGATCGTCATTTTCAAAAATAGTATATATTTAAATTTCATTTGTTAACACTATCATTCAAATTAATTATTAGTATTTAGGATTGCTCTAGCTCATTTGTCCTTTTTTTGCTTGTACAGATACATTCAGGCATCAGTATAATTCCACCGAGAAAAATTTACTCACATGCGTATCAGTCATTCTAATAAGATCGAAATTCGATAGTGGAAACATTGAGTATTTGCCATTTTAAGAACCAATAGATGACTTGATTTTACGGAAACGAGTAGTTCTACTAGCTACTTAACAAGTTTCATTAAGACATTTAGCTAGCTAAAATCCTTTCGGTTTTTCGACCCACGTACTACTCATATCAACCACCTTGAAAATAAATTCAAAACTTTTGGTAAAAACAGGTTTTTAACAAAAAATTACTCCTGCCTTATTTATTTGTTCTGTTTCTTGCTCCAATTTACTTATTAATCCAACTGCGTAGCAATGTATCACTCTCCCTCGTGAGCTACTGTATTGAAAACAATAATACATGCAAGTAGAATATTAAATAGACAAAATTACAGTTACAGTATATTTACTGTTGAAGAACAGTTACATTTGCTGTTTCGCCCATCAAAGAAGCCTTTTCCCACAACTATTTCGTACTTTTTTATAAAGAATATTTCCTCAATTTTGCCAGCACTAATTACTTTTTGGCTTGCCAATATCAACACTTGCTTACTTTTATTTTCAACTCCAGCCGACCGGACAGCTCATTCATGAGCATTCTGAACCCGCTCAACACGATCCGCTATCTCATCAAATACAAGCTGAAATGGCTGCTACTCAAGTTACTCATAATTTCACTGATCATCCTGCTGCTTGCTCTCTTTATCTACTCCAGTCCCGGTTGGCTGTCCAAGAAGATGTGGAACGCTTAAAGAGTAAGTCGGCAAGACAACCTGGCTTCATCTGAAGCCTCATTAGCTGACCTTAAAAAGCCCTGTCCGTTATCCAAAGTGGTACTTGCGAAGAGTGTTTTCGTGCTGGTCCTCACGATGCGATTATGACCTGACAAAACGGCTGACCTCGTTTGTTATAGTGGAATGATAGAATTGTCTAAAAGGTCTGTCGAACGCTGAAAGAAGAGCCGGCGGACAGAGCCAAACTCAGTCCCAAACCTGCCTTCAACCGATCTAGCAGTGCGCTTGATCCTGGTTCTAGTCCCTCAGTGACGAGTCACCTCTAACGTGATTCCCAGAGCTTGTTAGGGCTGCATTTGTAGAGCTAAATCTGGTAATTCTCAACTTCCCACGATTAGAGAGTGGCTTACGCAAGAGCCTGGGGCAACAGCCAAGCATGTTCTTTCTAGTTCGTGGCTGGCACTCGAATCGTGTTGGCGTAACTACTTATTTGTACATAGCACACGAAATGCGTGAAGCTCTCTCACACCCCCAGTTGCGCTGGACTCAAGCTATCAAATGATCTCATAGTTTGAGACGAGTTGAGAGGTGATAGATAATCTAATAATCCTGTTGTGGTTCTGGAGACTAAGGAAAGAGACGCCCAATATAAATGAGACAGTAATGTCAGCTTAATGGAGGGCGGAATAAGCGAGTTTAAAAGCAAAAATCTGGCGTCAGAGTCGACCCCATTTCCTCCTGGTTTGTGATGAGTCAGGCTGGCGTTCGAAGCCACCAGAGCCCCGCAACGCAACACTCCGAGAAAATAAAGATGCAAACGAAAGTCTCTCGGGTTCAAACAAAAATTTGTTTATAGAATAACCAGTTATACTTTTTTTTCTATTTTCGAAGATTTAGCGCAGTGCAATTCGTCAGGACCTTACCAGGGGACGCGATTCATGCTCCTTCCCGCACCATACTAGACCTGTAATTTAAAGAGAGTTGCTGACAATTTGTAAATGAAGAAGACGAGTTTATCATTTGATTAAGCACCAACAAACTGACTTGTTACATTCCGAATAAGTGCAATCTTGTTGTTTTATATTCTTACGGCCTCCATTGTGTTGAAAAACTATTTTTTATGCATCGTTATTACATGTTTCTACAATTCATTCGTTGTTCTGGCAGTCTCGGGGCATGTAACCATATGCGAAGAAAAATTGGTTTTCGTGGAATCTCTTATTTTATAATTGTTGAGCTTACTTCCATTTTGGTGAAGAGATTCGAAGATCGATTTCACCAGAAGACGACAGCGGATTCCTCTTTACCAACTGTCTATTGGCTTTACTGGAGCATTCATGATGACGCTGTTTCCGAGGTAATCTCCTTCAATTCCGGTGAAAACGTGCTAAGCTTTCGTCCGTCATATGACGAATATCATTAGAAAAAAGTATCATCGTTACAAGCAAATTCAAGCTAATGAGTTTTCTTAACTAGAAATAGATTACCACGGAAACAGAGTCAACCTAAATGCTTCAATAAATCCAAACGACAGCTGTTCAAGAGAAATCCGCTGTCGTCTTCTGGTGGAATCGACCCTCGAATCTTTTCACCAAACACTTTCACTCGAAATGGAAGTATGCTCAACCATGTCACCATAGCTTGAAGGGGCTGTCAATGAATCTCGAATGTGGCAAAAAGCAATCTATGGGCCCGATAACCTGAGGCAAATATTTGAGGTGCCGGGGTCTCCTGTTTCGAGGTGCATTTAAATGTAGCATTGTAACCAGCAAATTCGCTCTGATCTTTTCATCCATTTAGTTGGATCCATCGACATGATTACTGAAAGGAGCCAGCGACAGTGTTGCTCTGCTTTAAATAAGATATGAGATTTTATGATGAAGATATTCGTAGGTCGATCTTACGA